GATGTCAGTATAGATAGATATAGTAAATCGAGGGTTGAGATAGGAACACGTAAGCCGTTTTAACCAATAATGAATATTTTCGACCTAAAAAAAATCATAAAATTTAAAAATCTCGTTTTTGAACACCCCTATAGGGGTGTTCAAAAACCTATAGGTATTCATATATCAGTAATCATTCCCTTTTAATCTATGCCGCTAGTCTCCAAGTGTGATGCATTGATGAAATCGGCTCTCCAGGGAGAACCTAAAAATGCAATAATATACAGGGTGTCCCATTACAAAAAAAACATCATCAGCCAATATCTTGGAATTCGAACACCCTATACCGCGTGACACAGATACATGGTATACCAACCGAATATGAAATGGAATAGAGGGTGTTCCATTTGAAAATCGAAAGTTGATCTCATTTCCAGGAGAATTGAAAGATGAAAAAAATTTCCTAAAATGTGAGATAAAAGCCCTCTAGTGAGCATATTCGATGTTCAAAATTTCAGAAATATAGCTAGAAAACAAAAGGAGAAAAAGGTGGTATACCATGAGTCCTTGTTACCCGGTATATCGCCGGTATAGATATGAAAATATTTCAAGATGAAAGTTATCATGAAACACTATTACTATTCTGTATTCGAATTTTTTTAAATATGTATATATCTGACGGTTTGGCTAATATCGAAGGAGAACGCACTATATTGACTCACCCTGTAGATTACATGCTGGTTAAGAACTCCGTATTCAAATATTCAATTCCATAATCAAAACTGAACCATATGATGTACCGGGTGATCGATTCACCATAAATGTCCCCCCCTTTAGCGCATTTATTTTCGAACCGATTTCGAAATTTCAAAAATCATCTGAAATGATTTTTTCAGGTATTTTTAATGACACATTAGAACATACAGGGTGCTCGGAACAAACGTTCTACAGGATACTAGTTGATTTCTTCAAACGGAACACCCTGTATTTCATAGCATTTTTAGATTCTCTCTGAAGAGCTGATTTCATCAATGCATCACACTTGGGGTCTAACGTTCATAATTACGGAGATATAGGGTGTTCAAAATCAAGATTTTTTAATTTTAGGATTTTTTTGTGTGTAAATAACTATTCATTATTGGTCAAAACGACTCACATGTCCCTATCCCAACTTATGATTTACTATCTACTGACATCAAATTGGAACAATACAGGGTGGTTCAAGATTCAGAATTCTGATCACCCTGTATTTGTTCCAATTATTAAATGTCAGTAGATAGTGAATCATAAGTTAACATAGGAACATGGAAGCCGTTTTGACCAATAAGTAATAGTTTCGACAGAAAAACATCCTACTTAAATTTGAAAAATCTCGATTTTTGAACACCCTATATCTCTGTAATCACTCCCGCTAGACCCCAAGTGTGATACATTGATGAAATCAGCTATTCAGGAATAATCTGAAAATGCAATTAAATATAGGGTGTTCCTTTTAAAAAAATCAACTTGTACCCTGTCGATCGTTTGTTCCGAGCACCCTGTATTTTCTGATATAGCGGAAAAAAAACTTAATCAAATGATTCTTCAAATTTTGTGATCGGTTCAAAAATAACCGAGCTTTTTAGGGGGGGACATTATTGTGAATCACCCTGTACATGGAATATAATGTTAATTCATTTGATTTTGATACCTACCTACCTATCTATAGAGATAGTCTGCTAGATCTTGTAAAAACTATCCGAACGTACCTACCTAACGAATGAACGTGTTACAATAAGCACCTATATACCCGATTCACCCTGTATTCATATTTCTAATATTATTCCGTGTCCACTTACCTCATCCAAGATGTCACTAAAGGGAATTTTCTGTGCATTTTCAGCAGCTAAAGCTTGACGTTGCTTCTCGCTTATGTCCAACATGCGTTTTCACGTAAACAATGTTGCATGTACCAGTAATGATATCCATAGCCACTTTAATGGAAGCAGGACAATTTGAATTTATTTTGTTGCTGCCAGGTATTGTAACTTGCCTCTTTCCGAGCGATGACAATAAAAATATTGAATCTCCAATTTTGACGATCTTTTCGTTCCAGAATTCTTAACGAAACGAGTTTTATCATTCTGTTCTATCTCACTTTTCCATTCGATGGATTGTTCATAAGATGGAATTTCAAAATTTTCCTTAACCCAACGTTAAGTCATGCGAATTCTTCAAATGATTTTCGAATTGATCATTCATAATTTTTCCATTGCATAATATGGCAATCAGATGATTTCACCGCACTATTTGAAGGTAAATTGCAACATTTTTTTATGGGCCGTGAAATTTTTCTCTACATTGAACTTCGAACTGCATCTATCACAAATAAAATTGTACACTTTCCCACTTATTTTTGATGGGAGAAGACTTCAAACAATGCCTTCTGAGACTTTGAAAACAGCTGAACGTTTTTGTACATTCTGCACAACAGTTTGATAATTCCATTTTTATAGGTACTTAGTTACGTGTGAAACGTTGACCAAACTATAACATAAATGAGTAGGTATTCTGAAAATAGTTGTATGTCAACCGACTATACACTCCTTCCATTGAAACATGATTCGGCGCCAATTAATGGTATTGGCATTTTACCTACCAATAAAAATATTACATTATTACTGTTTCGCTCCTTCGCTCCAACGTTCGTCGGGCATGTCGATAGGTGAAGGGTGAAGGTGATGTTTGCCCGCGTCCGCGTCTCGCTTGACGCGGTTCTCCCACTACGTTGTTCATGAAAATCCTTACTTGCGGCAGACGCTAGTGACACCGCCCGCTCCGCCAGTTGCAGTGCTGCCAGCGTTCTGCTATTTTATATTATAACACTGATGTTTTTGTATATATCAGTAGGGGTCAATCGTTCATGTTCATGACATTTCCTTAGACCTGGCATCACTGGTCACTGGTTGAAACTAAGTAGCACCAGATTTCTAATTCTTAGCAAATGAGAAAAGGAGGAAAGGATTGATTACTTGCTTTCATAAAAAATAATCTTTTGAGTTTCATATGGGCCTATCACAAAAGACAATATTTTGTTCATGCCTACACTAATTTTTAATTATGAATATTACCTGTCATGAGTGGATTATGTATACTTACTTCAACACCAGTTTTTTGAATGGGAATTCAAGATAATCAAAACAAAAAGTGGTGGTTACGTTACGATTGAGATATGGGATATGAGAATTTCTCAATTTTGACCAAATGATCATAATCTCCGACCCCGAAAACCCCCAAATACCAATTTTGAAACCGCCATCTTGAATTTCCCAATTTTGACTAAAGATTCTGAATCTGTGACCCGAAAATCCCAGATACCAATTTTGAAAACAATTGGTCTATAATTTCGAAATTTGTCCGCCATATTGGATCCGCCATCTTGGATTTCCAAATTTTGAAGAAATAATTGTTATCTTCGACTCCGAAAACCCCCTAGATACCAATTTTGAACAGAATCGGATTATATTTGAACAACTCGTCTGCCATATATTGTATCCGCCATTCTGAATCTCCTCATTCTGACGAAGAAATCATAATATCCGATCCCGAAAACCCTCAGATGCCAATTTTGAATAGAATCGGATTACAAAACTCGTCCACCATATTGGATATCCGCCATCTTGAATTTTCAATTTGAAAAATCGTTGACGACTGATTCTCAGACCTACCGAATATGCACAAAAATCTTCATAAGAATCGGCCAAGCCGTTCGGAGGAGTTTGGCGTCAAACACCGTGACAGGGACAGGAGAATTTTATATATTAGATTAATATTATCAATCAACAGAGTCAGTTATGCAATACACTCGATAGACTATAAAAAGAAAAAAAAAGCGCAATTACTTACAAAAAATCGCAATGACGCAAAACGAAGTTAAAAAGCGCCTTATTGGCAACACTGTTCCCCAGACCCAGAAAGAAGAAATGAATAGAAAGAGAACTGTAATGTTTGTATTAGTTCTTGAAGGAGCGCAGCACGGTAGTTTCACTGTGTAGCCCTCTGAAAGACAATAGCTGAACTACTCTGCCACTGTCGAAACCTCGCTAACAATATGGCGATATTGAAAATAGATGCAGAAACGTCAGAATTAATTTTACGAACAATACATTCCCAAACGACAATGTTCCAGAAGCTGATTATTTCATCAAAAATTTATTGAATTGCTAACTTAGGGTATGCCAGGTTTTTATTCGATTCTGTTACACAAACGTTGTCAATGTTATTGTTTTTCATTACCATATATTTTTTTACACAAATCGAATTTCGCTGGAAAATTCCTTCATATCCTATTCTCAACCTTCGTCTTCAATATGTACCAACCACTTTTGCGCTTACACTTATAGTTTATTAATGATTTGGTACCAAACTGACCTCTGCATGGCAGTTTTGACTGATGCGCCCTCTTAAGGCTATTCACATTCATTTTACAGTTCCGTTGATACCATTTCCATTTCAATAAGTCCTACACGAGATCCTACTGTAGCTGGATTTGACAGTCCATCCACTAATGAAAAATCCTTTGATCTTCAAATACCCTGTCTATAGGTTAATCGAAGAGGTGGTACATACAATAATTAATGATATTAAAATAAATTTATAACATAATTTCAATTTATTAATTTACAGTGAGCATGGAGCATATTTCTTTGTTTGCACTATTATTAACTATACTATTTGTACACCTACTTTTTTCATTTCCATAACTACAATATTTTCTATTGGCTGATGATGGGCTTATATAACCCCGAAACATGTTCCTTCCATATTGATCTTTGATCATTCTAATAAATGTTGTGGAGATGACTTTGGGTTTTCATCTATGAACTAAGAATTTTATGCTTGATGTTTTTGATGTTTCAAGATTTCAAAAGAATCCAGCAATCCAGTCAAATTTCGATTATATCATTAGCGAGATCTTTGGTGAATAAACGGAATTAATAGAAATGCAAAAATTAACAATGAAAATATAGCAGTTCACTTGCCATACTGATGGTACATCTCCTTTTTTCAATTTTTTATTGCCACTGGCATTCTGCTGGAAATGTTTGGAGCAGACCAAAGATTTTGGGTGTAAAAGCTGACCGCATGAGATAACCCATTCCAGAAGACGATGGTCATCCTAGAAAATGAAGCCCAGCATTGATTAAAAAAAAATCAAGAGATTACTTTCTATCAAGAAAAAATAGTGGAAGTTGAATGCAATGATGATTCCAATGCCATTATCAGAAGTTTTACAGGGTGATTCCTAAAAGCATGACAAACCACAAACTCATTTTTTTAAATGGAACTTTCTGTTCTTTATATTTTTGCCAAAAGTAGTATGTTATCCTCTACTTTCTCTTCTCAATTATGACTTACGTTACCTCAAGAAATACAATTTTTGTGTGCCTTCTACACATATACCATATTAGCACTGAATGAAAACATTTCCAAATTGATTGAGTAATCACCAACTCATCAAACAAAAATGGTTTTTCTGGGTCATGAAAGTGCTGATGAAAAACTGAAAATAGGAGATAACATTTTATATTATGTGTACAGCGTGTCTCACTTCAAACGCCCCCCCCCCTCTGTATCTCAGTTATTAGTAATGCGATTTCAACCAAATTTAATGTGGTATAAATACCCATCAATATGATCAGTTTAACAGAAATGCACATTATTTTGGGCAGTGCCGTGCGCTTTTATTGAACTAAAAAGGGGTCGATTTTTCATAAAATGATATTAGGCATTTTTTTACAGGAAATCTAACCTCATATTATTGTTCCTCATGCTTTCAAACCTCCATATGCAAAATATCACCTAATTCCGAATTAACAGGATTGGCTTAATTTTTTTTATTTTCAGACTCGGATAAATAGTGACTTCAGATCAACTACGAATTTTGGAACGTTCAATGGCTCCTGTAGGTGCAAAATCATGATTTGGAAGGAAAAACGAGTTATACTTTTTTATGTTGAACTCACCATTTCCGAGTAATTATTACGTTCGCAAAAATGCTGTTTAGATGTGCCTGGTTTTCTGAAACCCTTCATAGGCATCTTATGAAAACCCACCCACATAATAATATGTGGGTTTGAAACCATGAAGAACAATATTATGAGGTCAGTTTTCCTGTGCAAAAATGCCTAATATGATTTAATGAAAAACTGACCCCTATTCATTTCAATAAAAATGCTCGGCACTGTTCAAAATGATGTTTGTCTTTGAAGAACTGGTCATATTGATGATTATTCATACCGATACAAATTTGATAAAGATCGCACGACTGATAGCTGAGATATAGAGGGGGGAGCGTTTGAAATGAAACACGCTGTATATAAATCTCTGTGGGGGCTATGCCCAATAATCTCTTCCTAGTCACTTTACAGTTCCCTAGATATTACTTCCATTTTTTATATATATTCATATAATAATCCTGGGAATATTCATGGGACGCAATTGAATGTGACCCATCAGATTTATTCGTTTTTTGTCGAGCTTTCGAGAATGTTCATTTTTTTTAACTTTCAACTGCCCCCCATGAATATTCTTCAAGAATGTTTTCTATGGAACAGTAACGAAAGGGTTCCCCTGTGGTACATACACAGGGCTTTCATTTCAAAACTCGCCACCCTGTGTATCTTCTGATCTGTAATGATTACAATTTTCAGGAGAAATAGGCCGATTTAGATTCGCCGAGGGGAAAGTAAAATACCAATGTCCATCAAATGCTATGTTCATTTCCTTCATCCCAGACACCCCTACTTTATAATTCGAAAAGGGAACTAAGAACAGCTGTCGACGATATCTCAGCAACGAATAATGATACAAGTTTGAGATAGAATAAATCTAATGGTATGCATATCATACACGATATAATAGAGAAACTAAATCTCAACAAACCAACGAAAACCGCAGAAGATATTTTGGGTGGTTAAGTTCTGAAATGAATGCCCTGTATATATTTGTGACCACAAAAATTCAGATATCAAAAAGAATTTAAAAAACAGGATGTTTCATGATGGTTTGTCACCCTTCTAGAGGCGAGAGCTTGAAAATGCATAAATAACTACCTAGATACTACCATGGATTCAACAGTTTCTCATTTTTATTTTACTTGAAGAAGGAACAAACAACAATATAATAACATATAGTCTTTGTCAGCAGAAGCTCATATAGATTTCTTAAGATTTCCTCTGTAAATTCTGGTAGGATCATTGAAATCTAATCTCAAGCAAAAACAAGAGAAGAATATTCTAATTACACCCCTATTTTTTTGGGAGACGTTTAGCCACGTTTATACCGTATGGATATTTGGTATGCTTACCAAGGTGATTTGACCAAATTCAGACCAAAGGCATTAGTTAACGCATGTTTACACCATTTATCTTTAGTTGACTTACTTTAACAACTTTGTTTTGATTTGATTATTTTTTTGGGATTCGCCTTTTGACCATGGAAGGAGACACATGGCGTCTCCAGGTCAAAAGTCAGGTTAATGTGTGTGCAAGTCTATAATTTTTCTAATTACCTGATCTGGATTAAAATCCAATATTTATTGTGAAGTTTAATACGTGTGTGTGAAAATTATAAAGCCCTTTTATCTCTACGCCGGTAGAGCGGCCGGATGGTGACGGATTCACCGGATAAAGGGGCCATACTTGAAATCAAACGTGCTCAGTATGAGCACATACGATAGAATCTTTGATATTGATGAACTCGGCTTCCGGGCATGGTGACGGACTACGGTGTCTTTAGTGCTCGAGTCGAGAGATAATATTATTACATAACCATATATATTCTTGAAAAAATTAATTACCTGATCTGGAGAAATTGTTACCGAATGGAGACTGAAATCATAAACCCAAAAGAAGAATTATTTTTTTGAGGTTAGGTTGTGGAAATCGTAATCGTAAATTATGGATAATACCTTTTAGTAAGATTCGAAATTAGCTGATATTGAATGGAATATTGTTATGAAGACTCATGAAATAACAGATACTTGCACTCAAGTCAAGTCAAGGCTATACAAAAGTAGACCAAAGTGTTTACACCGTTTTGGTCATCATACTATTTTAGTCTGGTACGCTTTCGGTACCAAACCAAGCTGGAAACTTTAACAAGTCTACAGTTTATACCACACTAACCAAGAGTATTTAGTTAAAATATAGTCATTAGTCAGCTTACCATGACACGGTATAAACGTGGCCATTAGGCAGTTTACCAAGACACGATAATATAAAAGTGGCAGGTTAACAATAATATTCCAAATTTAATTATGTAATAATTATCCACATGTTTACTATGGAATGAAAACATGAACTTGTGGACAGATAAAAATACGTGCAGTAAAAAGCGAATTGTAGCTGTTTATTATAGAAAAAACATTTTCCTTACCTTCGGAACTGAATATAAATGAGTCGTCGAATCGCATTTGCTGCCGCAAATTGCACAAATTCGCGTATTTCGTTTCTCCGGCATCGGGTAAATCAAAAAATTACAACACTAATGAAAACTATATAAAAACAGGTAACAATGGAAACAAAAGAACACTAAGATACAGAAAATTGTGGAATATTGTAATAAACTTGCAGTTGAATTTGGAATTCCTCTACGCTCCGCTCACAAGTTACAAATTCACAACAAACCATAGCTCAGCTGATTTTAGGTGGTGACAGATGACATGATCATGAAAGAAATCTGTAAAAAGTGTCGCCATCTTGCGGACAATTGAGAACTATTATGCCATTATCGCGGAATCTGCGGTCAAGCGTTTTGGGAGCAACAAAACACTGTCGGTGATTACACTATATTCTATCCACCTTGATCAAAATTTAACTCAGAATTTCAAAATTTCGATGGCATCATACTGGCTGGTGTGCGGTTACTTAATAGCCCAAGTGCCTGCTGCAAATTTCGACCGCTATCTGATAACGAGATGATATACCGGGTGGCTACGGAAGTATTGCCTACGGAATATCTCAGGTATTGTATGAAGTAGGTTTGTGAAATTTGGAGCGTCGATATAATGACATAAGAGCTAGAATTTGAGCATATTGACATGTCGAAGTTAACTTCCGGTCTGACCAGAAGTAACATCAACTTTCTTATTTTGAATGGAAACCCTATTTTTTTTTTTTTTTTCGCTTTATTCAGCATTCAATTCCCTTTCTAATGACATATCACAAGTTGGTATCTAACCAGAAACTAGATCAGAAAAAAATTATTATTGAAATTCACCGAGTAGGCCGTGGAAGCAAAATGAATACTATGAAAAGTTGTTTGTGGAGAATCTGCGTCTTTTTCTCAGTATTACATTTCTGTGTGATTTTGAGACAATTCATTTGATTATAATATGCAGCTCTACTAAGGATTTATAGGCTGATTTCAACATTTTTTCGCTGAAAATATCAGAGTTTATAAAATGCAAATACCAGTATTTTCAGTTTGCTATTCAAATATTCTGAGTGGTTATCCCATCTGAGTGTTTCTTTGATAATTAGTCCTAGATATTTGATGAGCCAAATCCACGGCACAGCAATTTATTTGCTGTCGTAAATCCAGATACATACTTCTGTACATTATAGGGATTCCCTTTCGTGCGCTCCAAGCAAATGAAAGGGGATAATGTCCGCTTTACGAATATCCAAACGTGCCGCTATTCAAACTGATTTAAGTTAGTGGCAGTGCGTCAATATTTCCGAGAACATTTCACCCCCATCTCTAAAGATAATATCCGATGGACCAGTGTAGAACTCGATAATATGTGGAAATACTGACGCTCTGCCATTAACTTAGCTCAGTTTGAATCGCGGCACAGATATTCGCAAATGTGACATCCATTTTCATTTGCTTTTTATTTTAACTCGTTATCATATGTTTGTATGTTTGTATGTTTGTATGTTTGGTTGGGTTTCCTTAGCAACGCAGGTCTAATTGTCAGTGTAAGTACAACAGCCTACCAGTTAAAAACTTCAAATTTCATGTCGATAATTTTCTGATTTCAATATATTGTAATATTTTTTCAATATTAAATCGTAATTTTTCCCTTGACAGTATAAAGTAGTGTATACATGGGAAAAATATTATACTGTAGCTCTTGGCTTTTTTCCAAACCAAGTTCCAAACTATTTTACCCTATTATGTTCTATTTAAGAAAAGTGAATACATATATACATATGATATCTTTCTCATTATTTGATACTATGTGTATGTATATTAATATTCATCACAGAAAATGACATTCCTTTCCATTGGAATTCCAGATATCAGTAATATATGTACCTATTATATCTTGATATTCATTCTGAAATTAAGGAAATCAAAGGTGAAAAGATCAGATAGGTAAGAAAATATTTACTGTCTTGAAGGCAATGCTCCTTTTCTCAGTTTTGTTTGGCCAAGATATTCTGTTGAAAAATGGTTAGAACATAAGGTACCACCTGGTGGTAAATATCTACCAATAGATTCAGACCACTTTTTTCGAATACTTTCCTCCTATAACAAAATAAATGGCTCAGTCAGAGATGTCTACAGAGATATCACATTCAACTGAACAAAAGATAATTTTTGATGCATATTTTGCTGTTTAATATTCACAGAGGGGTAAATCACTGAGGTAGGCATTTCTGTGGATATATCCCAAGGATTTTCAACTGCATTTGTATAAGGATGACTCAATCTCAATGCTGCAATGTAAAAATCTAGAAGACAATGTAATGAAGTCATCTGAAGTACCTAGAGCATAATTATGTGATGTGATATGTGGAGTTCTATAATCAAATCACAGGAACTGCATTATCTTATCTTTGTGGCTGAACCAACATACTGATGTGGTTTCAGCCATTCATAATACATACAGTAAAATATCCTTGAATATTATGAAGGTTTTATCATATTTATGTAAAACCACAAGTGACACTAATTGCCGGAAATATTCGGCGATTGTTTTGGACAGCAAATGGCATTGTTTATCAAAACTTTCAAGCCATAGGCCAGTAGTTTCCAGTCATGAGCCTGTGTCTTGTGTCATTTAAAATGATAATTATAAGTCAGTTCAGTTGGTGTACCTATGGTGCATACTACAAATAATGCCTCTCAATGTAAGCTGGTGTAATTATGAAAAATTTAAGAAAATATTTACCCATCTTACCTTAGGTATCGTGTGGAGATGACGGGTCGAACTTCTTGGTTGTCCGCAAACTATACAAAACCTGGTGTGGTGAAACATCTTCATCTATCTAGTTTATGAAACATGCAGTACTTTAGTTGTGACATTTGTCATATTGTTATATTTTGATATGTCTATCATTTTGCTCAATAAAGCCAATCCTTTGGTTTGAATATTCTTCACAATTTATTGAGCAAAAATTTCCATAATACCCGATATGGATCGTAGATATTTACGGCCAGAACGTTTCGAAGCTGATCCAAACTCGAATTCTGCAAGTTCGGAATGGGTCCACTGGAAACAAATCTTCAAAAATTTCCTTGCAGGGGAACAATCAGAAGAAGTTAAATATTTAATGTTGCATGCGGACCATCATGCGGACAATCGGACAAATGCCATATTAATATTATGCTGTCAAAATAAAAATTGTGGTGGCATGGGCTCCGGCATGGATTTAGATTTTGGATTCACGGCATCACGGCAGACGGCACTTCGGCACATCGTGTTCGCCACTTCACGGCAGTGTTGCCAGAAGAAAAAAAGCTAATTGTACTGAAATCATTATTGAATTGTACTAAAACCAAGTGAAATCTACCAGACTGAAATATTGAAAAAATCGATTGAAAACAATAATTTTCATTTTTCATTGTCAGAAATGACCACATCAAATATAAAAAAGTTGAAGAAAATAAAATAAAAAATGTCCTATCAGGTACATAGCCCGAAAGATACAAAACATATAATGTAATCCATAAAAAATGACTAGGTTCATTGAATTTACAGAAAAATAAAAAAAAAATCAAATATTCCATCGGTGATATCCCCACATAATAGCTAAAAAGATAGAAAATACATGCAGCATCATCCATAATAAAAGATGACTGTACATCAAATATTTGAAAAAAACATCAGAAAACAGTACTGTACTGACAGTAGTGACAGTTGAAGTTGATGATGTATCTCGTTATGGTCAGCCAGCTGGTTGGCTGATAGCCAGAAGCAGCTCAGTCAGATCAACTGAAGAGATGATCTGCCAGTCATTCAGTCTGACCGACCGGTCGTTAGTGTCACGTGACTGATAAATACGAATGGTTGCGACCGGTCGCTTGTGTACAAAAAACCTTAAAAACCAAAAACTTTACTGATCAATTTATAATATACCGAAAATAACACATAACCTGACACTTTAACAACGAGATATATCAGGAATCATCCATTTTATGAGTCATTGAATTCCTCGATAGAGTCTTTTTTAGATAAAATAATAATTGTGAACTGTTTACCAGAAATAATACACTCAAGTGAATCATCCACTGATGTAATGCTATTTTTGCTGAAATATATAAGCTGTTCGAGTCACTCAATTTAGAAGAATGTAAATGCCCTTGACACTTTTTTGAGATTTGATTGTTTTGAGGTTATACTTATATCCTAGAACCGCATCGACCATCAAAAAGCCCGGGCAAAGTGGTCTTGGATCGGTCGGCCTTGGTCTTCAATAAAAAACGTTACCATTTGAAGTTCGGTCAATGCGGTCTTCAATCAAAAACCCTGTGGTCGAAGTTTGGTCCAAGTGGTCGCGACCGGTCGGCAATCGTAAAACTCTCCTTTATTGACACAGTGATGAAGATAGCGTTATCGAAATAATATTTCTTTGTCAAGTACGGATGATGAGGAAGCTGATGCAGCAGTTGTATAATATAACGCCTTCGTTCACTTCCATACATATTGAGATTATTTGATTTCAATACCTCGTACCGAAAATTATGTAGAGTTGTCCTTGTATTCTGTATGACAGTACTTTTATCAGGACTTTTTTCAAGATAGATAGATAGATAGATAGATAGATAGATAGATAGATAGATAGATAGATAGATAGATAGATAGATAGATAGATAGATAGATAGATAGATAGATAGATAGATAGATAGATAGATAGATAGATAGATAGATAGATAGATAGATAGATAGATAGATAGATAGATAGATAGATAGATAGATAGATAGATAGATAGATAGATAGATAGAGATAGATAGATAGATAGATAGATAGATAGATAGATAGATAGATAGATAGATAGATAGATAGATAGATAGATAGATAGATAGATAGATAGATAGATAGATAGATAGATAGATAGATAGATAGATAGATAGATAGATAGATAGATAGATAGATATAGATAGATAGATAGATAGATAGATAGATAGATAGATAGATAGATAGATAGATAGATAGATAGATAGATAGATAGATAGATAGATAGATAGATAGATAGATAGATAGATAGATAGATTAGATAGATAGATA